CAACTGGACCAATAAGCAGCATCACAGTAGATGGAGAAAAGATTGAAGTTGTTAAAGACTTCATATTGCTTGGTTCTACAATCAACGCCAATGGCAGCAGCAGTCAAGATATCAAAAGACATGTTGCATTGGGCAATCTGTTGCAAAAGCCCTCTTTCAGGTACTGAAGAGCACAGATGTCTCCTTGAAGACTAAGATGCGCTTGACCCAAGCCATAGTATTTTCAGTCACCTCATATGCATGTGAGAGCTGGACAATGAATAAGGAAGACCGAAGAAGAATTGATGCTTTTGAATTGTGGTGTTGGTGAAGAATGCTGAAGGTACCATGGACTGCTAAAAGAACTAACAAGTCTGTCCTGGAAGAAGTAGAGCTGGAATGCTTCTTGGAAGCAGGAATGGCCAGACTCTCTCTCACCTACGGTGGTCATGCTGTCAGAAGAGACCATTCTCTGGAGAAGGACGTCATGCTTGGTAAAGTGGAGGGTCAGCGAAAGAGTGGAAGGCCTTCAAAAAGATGGATTTACATGGTGGCTGCAGGGATGGGCTCAGGTATAGTAGGGATTGTGATGTTGGCACAGGATCAGGCAGTGTTTCGTTCTGCTGTACATAGGGTCGCTATGAGTCAGAGACAATTCAGTGGCACTTAACAACAACAACAACAGTCAGTAAAACACAGATAAACATTGTTTTGGTATTCTTTGCTTTGAACCAACATCCATCTCATGTTAGCAATATCTCTTGTTTCTACACACCACTCTCTTGAATCTGGCTTGAATTTCTGGCATTTCTCTGTCAATAAAGTGCTGCAACCGTTTTTGAATTGTCTTTAGGAAGATTTTACTTGTGTGTGATATCAATGGTACTGTTCGATAATTTCCACATTCCATTGGATCAACTTTCTTTGGAATGGGCAAGTATGGATCTGTTGCAGTTGGTTTGCCAGGTAGCTTTCTTCCAAATTTGACATAAATGAGTGAGTGAGCCTTCCAGAGCTCCATCCATTTGTTGAAACTACTCAATGGGTATTCTGTCAATTCCTGGACTTTGTTTTTTGCCAGTTCCTTCAGTGTGGCTTGGATTTCTTCCTTCAGTACCCTTGGTTCCTCACCATATGTTGCCCCCTGAAATACCTGAACATTGACCAGTTCTTTTTGGTACAGTGACTCCGTGTATTCCTTCCATCTTCTTTTGATGCTTCCTATAGTGTTCAAACACTGGCTCTCCATCAAAACAGTTTTGCTGCTCCATGAAGATGGTTAAAAATCCATACTCTCCTCTACCAAGAGGTACTCAGAAGGTGGCATGCCTTTGCCTTTTGAAGTTTCCTGGTAATATGTGATTATTACTGTTGTTTTGTACCAAGTGGTGTGTAGATGTCAGTGGGTGTGAGGTACGAAGAGCTTGGCTTCAAAGAATGATACAGCTTTCTCACTTACTCCTTCCATCTTCTGCCCACACCAGATTCCTAACAAACACTGCCTAATGTACTCTCTTTAAAACAGCAGAAAGCATGTAAAATATTTAAGAATTATATTTAAAATAGAGAATAATTAAAAACTTGATCCTTTCAAGGCAGAAGGCACTGTTAACTCTGAGCAGTGTGTTTTGTGCTCTGATGCTGTCAGAACAGCACTACACCTCTCGCTTCCTGTGGGTGAGCAGCGTGTGAGTCTCTCCTGCACGAGGCTCTGAGGTTTGGCAGAAACAGCTGATGCAGGACCAGAGGTGGTGAGCCACAGGCTCACAAGTGTGGGCTTGAGCCAGTGCACCACCCACTGCACCTCCATTGCCGTGTCTGTACAGAGTGCAGAGATGGGTGCCAGCGCAAGGGTTGTGAGGGTGTGACAGGAGCTGTGCACGTAAGTGTTGGCAGCAGGTGGCAGGTGCTTGAGTGCTGGAAGCTGCTGCTATCACATCACCATCAGCTCCTATATCCGGAAGATGTGAATATTTTTTTTATCCAGTTTTTCTCTTGTTTTCATTATCTTCAGCTTGTTTGAAATTTAAAAGAAAAAAACCTCTTTATCAGACAAAGTTGTAGTAGAGCATCTGTTTGAGCTCATTTTTGGAAAAGTGGTGGAGAATTGTGCTTTTTGAAAGTCACTATGACTCCACTTGGCAGTCTTTATTTAAGGTGTTTCCATCTTCCATTGCTGAATGCAAGTGAATTGAAGGCATTTTGATGAATGTGCACCACTTCTGTCTGATCTCTATTTTAAAGTCAAGTATCATCTTTCATAAAATACTTTTTCTAGTTTAGATGTAACTTAGGCCATATCACATTTGTATGTATCCTGTCAACAGAAAAAAAAAAAAAGTGCTCATACAAACAAGTTGTGAAGAGCCAAGCCGAAGAACTGTGAGATAAGTCATCCTGCTGTCTCTTTGAAGTGTGGCTATTACACGTTAAAAAGTTGCTTTACTTTGGTAAATCAGAAAGGACATATTTTCCTATAATAATACTTTTGGAAAAGCTGTATTGACCATTCAATAACATAGCTCCAGAGTGTCTGTTTTTAGGAGTGTTGGGCTATTTAAATCTCGTTACGGCTTGTTTTCTTATTGGTTCATATCATATAGAGCAAAGTGTTTCTTCATCGTGTGGTCACTTGCTAAGATCAGAGGAGCATAGCCCCCCTGCTCTCCAGGACTGAGGAATGTTACTGTCTCACACAGCGTGGGTTTTAATGCTGTGGCCATGACGACCGTCCTCTGCACAAAGGAGCTGGCCTCCCCAAACATAGGGCTCTGGCACAAACATTTGACTTTCTTCAAGGCAGTAATATTAAAGCAGATTCCTTGTCTTTGCCAAACACAAGATTCATTGTGAGAAACTTCCAGCTTCAGTAGTGAAGCGTGTTTTCCTTCATGACGCAAATCCATGCAGTTGATTTTTATCCTGCTATAAACCAACTCCAATACCCTGCTTTTTGACGGAGCTCTTGCTGACTTAAATTTGATTGTGGGAAGTTCTTCCCTGTGATTTGCTTTCCCGGACACCTTTGGGTGTGACTCTCCGCTTGTCCTGCTTTGTGGTGATGGTGGAGATCCAGCTGCTGGTGGCAGTGCCTGTGCAGGGCCAGGGACGAGGCGAAGGCTGCCCCTCTGCCATTCCTACTCTGCAGGATGGAGCCACTCTGCTAACTGCTCCTGGGTGGCTGAGCCCTTGGGGTCAGTGCTAGAACCCACACTGCCCCCATGTGTGGATGGCATTTACAGAGCCACTGCTCTGTACCCATCCCTTTGTAACATGGTGGCAGGATCCTGGCCTTATCCCGGGTTGAGTTCGTATGGGTGATGGAGGGATGGTCTCCAGGTGGTGGGGCTTTTCTCTGCCCCTTTCAGGGGTGGATTTCTCGTGGTGGAGACCAGGGTGTGGCTGTGTGGGTTGGGACTAGCCTGGTGCCCTGTGGGACTGATAGCTTTGTAGGTTGGTGCTTCCATCTGGACACCAGAGAGACTGATAGCTTCACTCTGTACACAGCTGTTTTGGGCAGCTTTCTGCAGTGATGCTGAATCTGTGACTGGCTAACACAGAGCAGACGTTGACTCTGTCTTTTCTGGGGATACTAGGTGTCAAGCCCTTTGAAGTTCCCTCTGCACGTCTTGCCTTCTCCCTGGTCATCGGTCGTGTTCATTCTAACAAGTCTGGAACAGGGTTTTGGAGGTTGAATGTTGCCCTTTAATGTACTGTGCCCTCAGCTTCCAGATTAATCTGCTAAGATGTTAACTTTAGCACGTTACTCTGCACTCAGAAGCCTTTCTGCAGGTGCAGTTCAGGTGTCTCAGCTCACAATCTGTTCCTCTGTGGCTGGCTCATGCATACTTTCCCAAACCTACGACTAAGCCCTGAACACACCTGCTGCTCGCCAGAGCATATAGCTACTGAACAAACGTCTGTTCTGGAGTAGTCCGTGTTCTGTTCAAATTCTAGCAGCTTCAGGTTCCCTCTGTCACTAACCCTCCAGGTGATCTTGGCTTCCTTTAAGCCTCATAGTACTTGTTCTCAGCAACCTTTGCTTGATATTCAACTGTAGGGAACCGTTTCGCCCCTTTGCTAATGCAGTTAGAATCCTTTGAATACAAGATACCTTTTTCTTTTCTGGTTTTAGAAAATAAGGAGCTCTGGTGGTGTAGTGGTTAAGGCATTTGGCTGCTAACCAAAAGGTTGGTGGTTTAAACCCACCAGCTGCTCCATGGAAGAAAGATGGGGCAGTCTGCTTATATAAAGATTTACAGCCTTGGAAACCCAATGGGGGTCACTATGAGTCAGAATTGACTGGATGGCAATGAGTTTGCTTTTTGTTTTTTTATTAAAATATAATATGCATACAGGAAAGTGCTCTTACTGTAATTGTACAGCTTAATTCATTTTCACAGACTGAACACACCAGTGCCCTGATGATGAGACAGAACATCACTAGTCCCCTAGAAGCCCCCTGGTGCCCCTCTGGACCCCACCCTGGTTGCCTGTCTGACGTTGCTGATTCTGACAGCACAGGGGAGTGGTGGCTGCTTTGCACTTTGTGGGCGGTACCACAGTGTCTCCTCTTTGTAAGAGGCTTCCTTCACTGCCCAGTGGGGAGTCTTCATGCTGTTGGTGTCCTATGCGGCCTGTCCCCTGCTGTATGCCCCCAGTTGTTCCAGTCTCCCTTTGCATGGTTCCCAGTTTACAGTTCCTGTGACTGGTGCAGCTGAGCCTTTTAGGATGTGCCCACTTCTCTTGGGTCTGCACACAGGAATGGAAGTGCTGGGTCACAGGATGGGCACATATTGGGGACTGACAGTAACTTTAACTCATTGCTGAAATTGTGTTCAGATAACTGGGCATCCAGCTCAGTGAATTCTCACCACCTCATCACTCACGTGACTGCCTCTGCTCCAGGTAGCCCCCATCCAGACCTGGTTTTCTCATTGTAGGAGGGATACTGAGTTTTATGAAATGGAGTGCTATTGAAAGTTGAATTGTAAAGTAGCTTTTCTTCTTTTTTTGAACAGTTGGATATTCTAAAAATAGGGCAGTAGCCCAGAGCTCAGGGACCTACCTTTGCTTCTTGGATTCAGTAAGTAACTCTGTGTTTTATTTATAATGTATGTTGGTTGAATAATTAAGTGACCTTGCACTTTAGTGTGGTTTTTGAGCAGCATTATCCTAATATATTATGACCAGACTTCAAAGTTAAGGGTCATAGTTGTTGTTGTTTAATTGCTGTAGGGAGCTCTGGTGGCGTAGTGCCTAAGGCATTTGACTGCTAACCAGAAGGCTGGCAGTTCAAAACCACCAGCAACTCCTTGGAAGGAAGATTGGGCAATCTACTTCCATAGAGATACTGCCTTGGAAACCCAAGGAGGGGGTCGCTATGAGTTGAATCGACTTGACTCTACAGCAGTGAGTTTGTTTTCTTTTTAGGGTGATTATTGAGCAAATTAGTTAATATTAAATGAGATTACATAAACCGTAAAACTACACAGCAGAGAACAATAAAAACACAAATGAAGATCAACTGGGAAAATGTTAACCAATATGAAACTTCAAAGATGAATAGCCTTAAATAGAAAGAATTCATTTAAGTTGATAGCACAAAGAAAAATCAGTAGTAGGTAAGTAGGCAAGGGCAGGAGTCACAGAAGTAGGCTTACAAATAAACTTTGTAAGAATTAAAGAGAAATTAGTTAAAGTTCTTTTCCTTTTTTTTTTTTTTTTTAGCATGAGTGTTCAGCAGTTTGGGAAGTGTGAACTGGCTCAGTGTAGGCACCATGATTTTGCATTCTCAGTTCCACTTGCAGGTATTGCTGAAATTCTGAAAAAATTTGTGCCCACAGAAGCTGTTTGCTGCAGTGATATTTATTTTGATGCAAAACTAGAAACAAGTTAATATGCAAAAGTAGGGTAATATAAATCTATATGAGGGGATTATTATGTTTATAAGAAATTTTTAACATAACAAATGATTATAATAGGTGAAAAAAGACTATGTAACTTTACATATCATCTGCACTCAACCATGGATTTTCTTTTTAATACCTTAAAATACTTTAAAACAAAGCGGCAGTCTTTTGAACAGAGCAGGGGGATACCACATGGTTTAAAATCAGGAAAGATGTGGGTCAGGGTTGTATCCTTTCATTATACATCTTGAATCTGTATGCTGAGCATATATGATAGTTGGAATTGTGTGTCAACTTGGCTCGACCACAATTCTGTGTGGTTTAAGCAGTTGTGATGTGGTTTATTCCCATGATGGGATCGGATATATATGTTTTGAGCAGCCAGTCTGTTGAAAGGGAGTTTTCCTAGGGGTGTGACCTGCTTCCAGTATATTTGTGGACATCTGGGAAAATGAGACACTCTTCTGTGGATCGGGATCCTGTTGTACTGCTTACAGCTGTCCATGAGTGAACAATCTACCATTTGGCCTGGTGATCTTGGATTGGTCATTTGTTGGAGTCAACAGTACATTGCCTGCCAACCTTGAGCTTGCCAGCCTCTGCAGCTGTGTGAGTTGGGAAAAGCCTCCAGCTTGATGTTTGATCCAAGAACTTGGGACTTGCCAGCTTCTGTAAGTGTGTGAGCCATTTTCCTAAGATTAATTTCTTTCTCTCTTTCTATATGTAAGCTTTACTGGTTTTGCTTTTTTAGAGAACCCAGGCTAACACAGCATATAATCCAAGAAGCTGAACTACATGAAGAATGTGGCATCAAAATTAGGGGAAGACTCATTAACAACCTGAGATTTGCAGATGATACAACCTTGCTTACTGAAAGTAAAGATGATTTGAGCACTCACTGATGAAGATCAAAGACTACACAGCCTTCAGTATGGATTACATCTCAACATAAAGGAATACAAATGCTCACAATAAATGGAGAAAAGATTGAAGTTGTCAGGGATTTCATTTTTTATGTGGATCCACAATCAACATCCATGGAAGCAGCAATAAAGGAAGTAGATGTCATACTGCACTGGACAAATCTGTTGCAAAAGACCTCTTTAAAGTGTTACAGAGCAAAGATGTCACTTTGAAGACTATGGTGTGCCTGACCCAAGCTGTGATACTGTCAGTCTCCTCATGTGCATGTGAAATTGGACAGTGAATTAGGAAAATGGAAAAAGAGTTGATGTGTTTGCATTGTAGTGCTGGTGAAGAATACTGAAAATACTGTGGAGTGCCAGAAGAACGAACAAATCTGTCCTGGAAGAAGTGAAGCTGCAAGGCTCCTTCAATATGAGAATGAGCAGACTTCATCTCATGTGCTTCGGTCATGTTGACAGAAGGGACCAGTCCCTGGAGAAGGATGTCATGCTTGGTAAAGTGGAAGGTCAGCAGGATGCATTGACACAGTGGCTACAACATAGCAAAGATTGTGAAGGTAGTTCAGGACCAGGCAGTGTTCTGTTCTATTGTACATAGGGTCGCTGTGAGTGAGAACCGGCCTGACAGCACCTAACAACGACGACAACAACAACAAAACAAACCTTAGGGGCATTTATCTGTGACTTTTGGGGCTGCCATCCCTGCTGTCTGTGATTAGGGTGCAGTGCCCCTGGATTTTCTGCAGCTCCCTGGGGAAAGATGAGCTCTCTGCCTGGGCTGCGTTAATTCACAGGTGTCTCTCCATCTTGTGTTGGTTCTATCCTGGCCCTTGATCTACTGGAGACTTTCATACAGGGTCTTGGTACTTGTGGAAGTTTTGGGAGATGGTATGCCTACCCGTGCAAACGAGGCATCATGCATATTCATGAGCTCTGCTCCCAACAGTAGAACCCAGCGTGCTCCCGGCCCCTCCTGAGGGGCCTTCCTGCTGCTCTGCTCGTTTCTCCCCTGCCATTTTCTTCTCAGACTGACACCTCTCATCTCTCATTGCTCTGACAAAACTCTGCCTCTCCTTGTTCTTCATCTCTGTGCAGACCCTCCTTTGGTGCCTGTTGTTTCACACTCCTGTGGTTCCTCAGACATGTCCCTAAGCAAAGACTGTTTCTACCAGATGGCTACGCCCCACAGGTCTATAGTTGTGCTTACTTCCTGTTACCTTTGGGTGATAGGATTATGGTCATTTTTTATGGGAGTATAGTCTTTTGTTCATGATTGTTCTTCCTGAACTATCTTACAAAGAATCATATATGGCTCTCCAACAATAACTACAGTACTTGAATTTGTGAATTGTAGATTAGCAACCCCCTGCCCTGCCCCCTCCCCATAATTTTGAGATCTGTCCCAACCTGGATGGGTTATTTCATCTTGGGTTATTTATATGGGTTATTTATATCTTGGACCAGACCTGGAAGGGTAAAGGGAATATCCTACCCAGCATCCCTTTTTTTTTTTAATTTTTATTGTGATTTAGGTGAAAATATACAGAGCAAATGCACTTTCCATACAGCAGATCACATACACTTTGTCTCATGACATTGACCACAGTTTAGCACAATGCAACATCTCCTCTCCCACTTCCTCCTGATAGGTACCGCTTCCCTGTGACCATCCCTCCGTGCACTCCTACCCCCTGAGCTATCTCCCTGTGCCTGAGCACCAGCATCCCTTTTATAGCTTTCGTTTTGTTCACTGAAGGGAAGGAAGGGTTTTTTAGAAAGAGAGAAGGCATAGAGAAGATACAGGGAGCTAAGTGGACTTATGGATCAGCACCTGGAGACTATCCAGGTTTAGAACACTTACCATAGACCGGGAGGCAATGAATGGTGCTGACACCAGAAATCTGTGTGATCAGCACCATCCTCAGTTGGGAACTTGCTGAAGAGGGAAGACAGTGGAGGATCAGGTTCTTGAAAATGCCTTTGATGTTTAGGGTAGGATGAGATAGTGATCAATGAGACACCTGGACAAGTCAGTCTCGTAAGAACTGAGGAACAGGGCGGGGATGGAGAGTGTCTTATGGATTGAATTGTGTTCCCCCAAAATATGTGTTGTCAATCCTCACCTCTGTGCTTGTGGTTGGAATCCCGTTTGGGAATGGGTTTGTCTTTGCTGTGTTAATGAGTCAGGATTAGTGTAGGGTGTGTTTGAGTCCATTTATTTTGGGATTAAAGAAGCAATTAAAAGAAGCAGAGATTAGGGAAGGGACATGCCTGGAAATTGTGGAGGAGCAGAGAAGCTCAAAGAGACCTTCCTTCAGAGCTGACAGAGAGACCTTCCCCTAGTGCCAGTTCCTTGATGGCAGACTTCTAGCCTCCTAAACAGTGAGAAAATAAACTCTGTTTGTTAAAGCCACCCCCTTATGGTATTTCTGTCACAGCATCACTAGATAGCTAAGACAGGGTGGTTAAGAAGACTGAGGATGGTGCTGATGGTGAACAAACCAGTGGGTGCAGGTGTTGCAGCAGAGTATGTTCGAGAGATGGTGGTGCAGAAGGGTCCTAGAGGAAATCTGAATTGTTCTCTGGATTTAGTTGAAGTCAATTGATAGATAATGCTAGTAGGTTTGGGTTAAGCTTCATGCAGGAGAAGATGTTTGCTCTGGGATTTTCGTAACCTTTTGCCATAGTAACCATGGCTTCGGGGCTGGGAGTTTGATGGGGGAGCATTTTCCTGCTTCCTGGTGATTGATGAAGCATCTGGAGGGGCCTACAGGAGAAGAGTCAGGGGCAGTGAAGAATTTCTGCTTTATTTAGGGTTTGCTGGTGGTTGTTGTTGTTGTTATGTGCCATTGAATCGGATCTGACTCATAGCGACCCTTCCTTGGGTTGCTGAGGCAGTATCACTACAGAAGTAGATTGCCCAGCGTTCCTTCTGAGGAGTGGCTGGTGGGTTTGAACCACCAGCCTTCTGGTTAGCAGTCAAGTGCCTTTGGCACTATGCTACCAGAGCTCCTTAGGGTTTGCTAGGTCCCTTTATATGGAGCTGTGTGGCACAGTGCTGAAGGCATTTGCCTGCTAACCAGAAGATGGGCAGTTCAAATCCACCAGCAACTCCACGGAAGGAAAATGGGGCACTCTACTTCCATAAAGATTTTTAAAAATAAGCCAAACCCACTGCCATTGAGTCGATTCTGACTCCTAGCAGCTCCTGTTGGTTTCCGAGACAGAAAATCTTTACAGAAATAGAT